TATATTATACTGGACCATTATACTTGCTGGAACTCCAGTATATTATGCTGGAGTTCTAGTGTATTTATGTTGGAACTCCATCATATTATGTTGGAGTTCCAGCATACTATCCTGGAACTCCAGTATAATATGTTGGAGTTCAGGTATACTTATGTTGGAACTCTAGCATAATATACTGGAGTATTTTCCGGGTTTTGAATAGTGTTTTCGCTCAGATTTATCTTTACATAAAAAGTGGCTAAATTTCGATTACTTTTGAAATTGGGCTATTTTTGAACGACCAGTTGTAAATCTGGCTATTTTTAAAAGTCACCCATTTAAACACAACGTATGACCGGACTGTAAAAACTTAAGCGCGTGTTTTTAAATGCTTCTCACACGGAATAACATACCAATAAAATGATGACACGTGTTTATTATCCAGGTTAGATAAAAAAAAACCCTTTTACCTTACCCACATTTACCTCGCCTTACTTAATTGATCCTCCACCCAAAATCTCCTTTCCTTAGTCTAATAAACCCTAATGAACTACATTGAGACCGATTCCCGGTGGAATCTTCATCGATTTTGAGTTAGATTCAATTGTCCGTCAACAACTTGGTCAATTATATTACTAATACCGGTAATCATTTGCTTCTTACAGCTGTGGTTGTGAGTGGAGTTGGTCGTAATTAACTTGAGCTGGTCGTGACTGAAGTTGGTCATGACTGAAGTTTCGTGGTTTATGCTCTTTCAATCAAAGTTTTCCTTTGTGCTAAGCTTTTATTTACAGAATATTTAGTTATTTTTGGTTGTTGTAATTTAGTTTATTGGAGTTTGTGAAAATTAGGATTTTTTTTATAATTTTGGGTCGGGGAATCTACTGACATCCTATGTTTCGCTTTTTGGTTTTTCAATACAGTGGTAAATCTAGACATGTCTGCAGAAAGGGGTAAGGATCGGATGGTGACATGATAGACAAGGACCACTTTTTTTTGAGCTTCTGTCCTACACAAATGATATGGGGTATGCTGAGGTAAAGGGTTTCTATTTGATTAATCTAAAATCTAATGACTTTGTCTTGATTGAAAATGATGAACAGCTGTATAATATAGTTTGTCACTTTAACCATCTTGATCATTTGGATTTGTTTATTAAGCATGTAGTTAATGAGCCTTTTGTTTATTGATGAGACTGTCCCATATGGCCTTTTATGTGGGCTAGAAGTTGTTGAATCAAGTGAAACTACATTAAATAGAGAGGCTAGGACAACATCTACTGTTCCAGAGGATATAAATACCCAAGAAAGTGTTGCAGACAACAATTTTGTGGCTGAGGAAAATCTAGCAGATGTTGGGGTTGCAAGTGAGAATTTACAAGGAGCTGAAGAAACAACAAACATAGATGTTGGTTTGGCATCAGATCTGTCAAGTAGTGAGTCTGAATTAGATAACATACCTGATGAAGATGATAGTACCCACTTCCAACATACTACATTCTTCTTGAACTAATACCAGCAACTACAACACCATTATTACTAGCATATCATAAAAATACATTGTTCTTTAAACCACCAGCATTAGCAAAGACAATTTCATAGAAACACCACCACAACAACAACAAATAACCACTTCAACCGCGCAACTATTTTCTCAGTTCTTTCGACTCTCTTCAACAGACCCCGTATAACCCTCTTAGCTTGGTCGAACATTTCATCATCATGCCATCTGAAATATTTGCAGCCACCTAGATCCTACAAAATTAAAAAAGAAATGTGGCGAAAAAATCTAAAAATAGATTTCTTTTTTAAGAAATTCAAGGGTCTAAGAAAAGCAATACGATCGACTTACCAATTTACAATCATAAAATCGACGACCTGGGTTTGCATGTGACCATGATATAGTCAGTGGCGCATTAAGCCCACAGTGGTAGGGGTATTCATAAAAACCCGAAAAATCGAACCAAACCGAAAACCAAACTAAACCAACCAAAAAAATCGATATTTTTTGGTTTGGTTTGGTTTTGGTTTAGAATTTTAAAAGCCGATCAAATTTGGTTTGGTTTTGATTTTAATCAGAAAAAACCCGGAAAAAAAAACAAACCAAACCAACTATAGGAGTAGTTATTTCAAATTTATAATTACACCTATATATATATATATGTATATTTTTTTATAAAGTTCCAAAAATTTAATGGTAAATGTTATTAGTTTGCACTTTTAGTATAGTTCTTTACCTTTACATTCTAGTTTGATTGGTAGTTTTCTTTTGTTAAGTGTAAGAATCAATTTCGTGTTAAAAATAATATATTTTTAATTGAGTCCTTAAATTATACATCACTATTTGATTTAATTATCATCAATATATCTTGGTAAATAATAGATTTCTCAAAGGGCAACTGATTTGATAGTGTTACGTTGAAAATATGATCTCCGGAATATGTGTTTGGTAGTGCATGTCTTATATTTAAGAAAAAACCGACAAATAACCGAAAAAACCAAAAAACCGACAAAACCCGACATAAACCGAACCGAGAAAAAACCGACTTAATGGTTTGGTTTGGTTCTAATGTTTGAAAAACCAATTTACTTGGTTTGATTTCTTTTTAGGGAAAAACCGATCCAAACCGAACCATGAACACCCCTACACAGTGGCAACTATCCATTTCATTGCGAGAAGTTCTTGATTTTGTGACCTGGAACTAATAAACAAGAAAGATGAGGAAGAAATCAGATAAAGATTCAAGCTTGGGCGCCTAAGCTTCATTTGAAGGGAAAAATGGCGACTTTGAAAGGGGAAGAAGACGAAAGAGGAATTAGAGCTTTTTGAGAGGAATTATGGGAAAATCGGGTGTTATAATGTGGGTCTAATGGGTGGATTTTTTCTTTACCATTGGAATATCCACCTAAGCAAAAAATAATAGCATTCATGCGCTTACCATGTGTGGAACTAACGCTCCTTTGGCCGGCCATGCATTGTGTTTGAATGGTATAGTCCAAAATATAGTTAAAGTGTTCAATAGGAAAAGCGCTAAGTTAAAGTGTCAAAATGGAAATTGGAGCCAAGTTTAAGGGCCGTCTATATATTTGCCCAAAAGTAAATGTTATATTAGTACTGCTAAAAATATATTAAAATCTGGAGATTAGTAAAATATAGTACATAATTAAATATATACAGTCAGACCTTTCTATAACAGCATACATATATAATAGTCATTCACTATAAAAGCCTAGTTTTTCTCAGAACTGACTTTTTATGTTATATTTTACTTCTCTATAACAGCAACAACCATCTCTATGATAGTAAGCTCTTTGTAAAATTACCCATCTATAACAACCATGCAGATTCTCTATGATTATTACTAATAATAATTCTAAATATTTAAGCAAATATTTTATAACTTTAATGTACAACTTATAATAGTTATATGTATTATCTTAAGGATAGCAGTATGTTCCATTAACATATGCACATCAAATATTTTTATAACTAAAGATCTACAATGATATATCTTGCATTAGAAAAAGGCCAAAAGATACTTAAAAGATCTATTTATACTTTTTGAAGATATGCTTATCATTCTTTTTTTATTTAAAGATGTACACATGATATATCTTATATTGGACAATTACCAATAATATGTAAACGTAATTTATTCGTATTTTTTAATTGTGTGCCTTAGAATTTAAATATTTGTGCTTTTAGTTAAGAATTTTTTAATAATGTATTAGATTTCTTTAGCATTTAATTCGTGAAATATTTATATCTTTTGAGATTTTTAATTTAAATATTTTATTAATTTTTTATATATAATATTATAAAAGAAAAACAATTAGTTTTTGGATAATTTTTGTCTATAACATCCAAAATATATTTAAATGTCAAATACTGTTATAGGAATATAACAGCCATTCACTATAAAAGTCGAAAAATTTCGAAACAAACGATGTAGTACATAAAACTCCCAAAACAGCAATCAAATTGAGTTTTATATCAAAAAGTAAATGTTGTATTAGTACTGTTAAAAAGAAGATGACACTCCCAAAACAGCAATCAAATTTGAGGATATTCTAGGCTTGAGTAAGTTCGTTTTATCCTTCCATACTCTAATTTCTAGCCTCTCTATTTCTTGTTTAAGTGTATTGGTCATTTGTAGCTTGAAACATTATTTGTTAGCAATCTTTGTGTTTGGTTTAAGTAGTTTAGGTAGGCCTCTGGTTGTTTCTAAGTTGTCTTCTGTCCGCAAAACTTTTAGGAACACTCTTCATTCAATTTCTGGAATTCTATTTTCATATCAATACTAGATTCAAGTCTAAAAGCTCTTCTCTTCTAAGTTTATTATATTGTTGTGCAGTTGATAAATTTTCTATGTGCAGAGAAAATTAGAGAAAATTTAGGATAGAAGCATTGTTGATTGAATGTTATTATGTGAATTGACTTACGGAGCAGACGGGGAGAAATTCAAAAATAGCTAGATTTACAAGTGGTCATTCAAAAATAGCCACAGTTTCAAATGTAATCGAAATTTAGCCACTTTTCATATAAAAATAAATCTGAACGAAAACATTGTTCAAAATCTGGAAAAATAGTCCAGCATAATATACTGGAGCCAGCAAAGTATACCGGTCTGAAAGTTCATACATAGGTGCACTGAACTCCAGTATATTATGCTGGACCGGTCTTTGTTGCAGCAAAATAGTGGCTATTTTTCAATGACTTGGCAAACGCTGGTTATTTTTAAATGATCAGTCCGAAAACTGGCTAGACCGTGCAGTACCCGATTGAAGTATCGAATAGAAGACACAGAAAAGTTAACAAAAATCCTAATGAACGAAACCTGATCGGACAGTTTGACTGCTTAGATTTTAGGGAATTATTTAATTTATTCTATCGTATGAACTATATATTCTTATGAGAAGAAAAGAAAATATTTTGCCATGCTGAAAAACTGGTGTATAATGTGAATTGCCAAAATTATTTATTAGGATTTGCTGTGAAATTTCAACATTGAGAAGCTGGTATTGCCAAACATGTTTTTGCCCTAATTAAATTTAAATTACCATAGAAAACATCAAGAGAAGAGTGCGTCAATTACAAGCTAGAGTATGACTGTCAAAATCTTAAAGCTTAAATCAAACAAAAATGAAGTGCCAAGGTGGATTAAACAAAAAATCGTGGATTCTAAAAATTAAATCAAGAGAGTGCAGATTTTAAAGATGTCGCAAAGACCTCTAATTCCTTTAAGCCTTCTTGGGGGGATTTTGCTTCACCTAATATTCTTACCATCGCACTGCCAACAATCAGCTCCCCATCCTGCCACCTGCAATATTACATGCATCAAAGCAAAACAGTAAATAACCATTTTTTTACCTATCAGGACACCTTGTTCCTAAACTGACCTGTTTGACTTGCTCGGGTTTTGATATACCAAATCCGACTGCCACCGGTTTAGATGTTGCCGCTTAATAATTTAGGCCTATAACCTGGGAAAAAATAAGAGGGAGATTCTTGGGATAGGCCAAACCCATGTCCTACTAACTTGAGTAATGATAATCAGAACAAGGTAACTTGTTTTGTTTACTTCCAAAGGTGACCCTGTAACGAATCCCATGGTGGATTCCCCATTGAAACAGGATAGAAAAATGAAAGAAAGAGAAAGCAAATTAAAAAGATAAAAATTCAGATTTTCATTAAGAGCCCGTTTGGAAATCCACCTTGGAAACGGATTTGGGTGTAATTGGGTGTAATTACACAATTTGGTATGTTTGTTTGGCCAAGTAATTACTTGGTCAGTATGGAATTAGGTGTAATTGGAGGGGTGTAATTACACTCTCAAATTCTCAAGGGGAAGGTGAGAATTGGTGGTAATTACACTCTGTAATTACATTTGCTTTTTAGTTTCTTTTCTTTTTGTTTTTATTTTAATTTATTTTCTTTATAACTTTTTATTTCTATTATTTTAATTTTAATTTTACTTTAATTTCTTTTAAAAATTTAAAATATATTTTTCTTTGTACATTATTTATCTTTTATTTCTCTACCTTTACTTCTTGTGATTCCATGTAATTGCTTATATTTTATTTTTTATTTATTTTATTATTCTACTTTATGAAACCACACCTCATAATATTAGAAATAATTGAATCATTAACAAACTTGACATATAATGAGTAATGCAAAAGAGGAGTTTCATTGTTGAATGCGGTTATAAACTTATTATGTTTCTTAATCTTAAGTTGTAGTGGAATTTACTATTATTATGTTTGTTAATTTTTTTTTTTTTGAATTTTGAAATTATGTTATATTCATGGTTCCAATTTACTTGTTTTAATAGTATTGGCTCACATTGCATGTTGTTCATTTTTTAGTTAGAATTAATAGATTAGTTTTGTCAAACATTTGAATAATGTTATGATATTATATTTATAAATTTATTAATTTATTTTATCAAACATGAATTCTATGATGTTCTTACAAAACGTATATTTTTAGTTTTTGTAAATATCTAAATTAAATATTATTAATTTAAAAATATATATATAAATTATTTTTACAATATTAGTTATAAATATATGATTACTAATTAATGTATATTCACGAAAAAATATACATTTTAAATACCAAATATAATATCATTTATACTTATAAAAATTTAAAGGCATATATTTATTATATTAGCTTCTAAGTTTTGATAATTATTTCATTTAAAATTTAATTTAACTGTGTAATTACACTTGTGCAACCAAACAGTAAATTTGTAATTACACTGTAATTACACTATGACAAACAAACATGTCATCGTAATTACATAACTGTGTAATTACTAGGATGTGTAATTACTACCCTAGTAATTACACCAATTCCAATTACCTGGTGGCTTTCCAAACAGACCCTAAGACATTTCTTACAATACCCTACTACTGAATATAAAGAAGACTAATAAAAGGAGTCCACTAATAATTCTAATTCTTAAAGGACTACTGTGCAAATACTTAAAGTTCCTAAAGGCCCAAAACGTGACAGACCCCAACACAAGTAACTAATTCCCACCATCAAAGTATCCAACTGTCTATACAGTGAAAACAATGTGTTTTGTAGAAATCCACTCAAGAATTTTCAGATTTCACTTTAGATGACTCGGATTTCCCTAGTCCAAGCACATCTAAGCTATCACAGAAAAAGGATGGTGCTCAGCATTCTTTTTAATCCTTGGAGTCTGAAGCGGTTAGCCTAAAGCAGAATATAACACTGTTGTAAATCAAGCTTCAGAAGACAGCAGACCTGCGTTAAGTCCAAGGAATTCACGCTATGAATTGCTCCTAAGAGTCCCTAATCAGAATGGTTTTGGCCCTGGAAGTAGGTATGGAATTCCGGACAAAGTTCAGTGTTTTGTATGGCTGGCAACTAAGGAGCCGTTTGACCCAAGATTACCTACAGAGAAGGGGCATTTAGCTAGTCAACAGATGTCATCTGTGTGGAAAAGAAGCTGAACCCACCAACCACCTTTTTCTTCATTGTGCTGCCTCTTCACTAGTGTGGCAAATGTTTATGAGCTTTTTGGGAGTGAAACGGGTAATGCCAAGAACAACTGCTAAATTCCTTATGAGCTGGAACAGAAGGGGACTAACTAAATGTTTAAAGATCTGAAATACCATCCGAGCCTGCATATGGTGGTGTATTTGGAAAGAAAGAAATACTGAAAGTTAGCTCTGACTGTATTTTGCTACTAGTAGCATTTTGGTGTAAATGGGATATTGTAAGTGATCCAGAAACAGTCTTACGACTATATCTTTTGTATAGACAAGCTCGCTCCAAGTTTCATGTAGTCTGTAACTTTTTTGGATTTAATCACAGCATCTTCTTAGTGCTGGTTTCAAACATCAATTAATTACAGAAAATACTGAAGTTTGAAGGAGCTAGTTAAGCAGAACTAAAGATGCAACTAGAAAAGAATTTTCCTTCAATGTTCTTGCTGTCCTTCAAAAGAAGGTCTAATATGCCAAGAGCTATATGTTTGAGCTATATATCTAACCAACTTTTGAAGGCCATCATGCATTAGCTTAAGCATGAGGAACACGGAAGGCATGAGAATTATAAGAAGCATGAGACGAACCTCTTTAATGTCGATCAGGAGCGATTGAACCTTCGAACTCACAGATTCACGAGCTCCAGTAACTCCGATTGAGCTCACCTATACAAGAACTAAATAATAAATTTCTACTAGTAACAGTAGAAGTGAAACAAAGAAATTATCATCTTCACCAGTATATCTCAATTGAATGATTTTCATTGAAAAGATCCATAAATTTGGTTCAAATTTTCACATGTCATATGTACAGTACATGTAGATTTTACCTTCTTTTAATTTATTGAAGTTGACACTATAATATCAGCAAGTATGATCCCAAAGCTCTGCAGACCAACAACCCCTGCTAAAAGTATGCATTTACATCACGCCGTTCAATCCAAAGGTTGTAATTGACCAGCTATACATCATGAATGCCTTACATTCTGTTACTCAAAACTATGCATTTACATCACGCCGTTCAATCCAAAGGTTGTAATTGACTAGCTATACATCATGAATGCCTTACATTCTGTTACTCAAAACTATGATTATTAGAAACTGAAGCATGAATCAAAATAATAGTCCATTAACATGTGGTATGGGGATAGAGCTTGAGGTTGATATTGATGCTCAAAAAGTAATCACCAGCCAAGAATCTAGATTATTGCGATAAATTCCACAGCAAGGCCCAAGAAACGAAAAGGGAGGGTAAGACATTGAACAAAATCTGAAAATGGTGCACCACTTTTGTAAGCAAACGGCAAAAACAGTAATGATTAAGACAACTTTCTATTAAACGAGAGGGAAGATATCTTACAAGATACACGAATCCTTCCGAAGCTTCAGTAATGGCCTTCATACGAACTGTTGGAGTAGTTGGTGTTGTAAGCAATACCTACATAAAAATGAAAAATTAATTTTTGATAAGGCAAATATGTTTTCATTGAGGAAATATTATGAAGGTGAATGATCAAATGCTATGCTCAATCCAAACAAGAGGAAAAAATTTGCAATATCACCAAGCATTCACATCAAGGTTGCCAAAGAAGAATAACACAAAGAAATTCGAATAAAAACAAGAGAAGACAAAACAATGAAACAAAATTGATAACCTCTTGTAATGGAGGAACCAGCAGAAATGAGATCATTCATTTTGATTTATCATCAATATAGATATAGGAGTCCACCCTCCCCCAACAAAGAAACACCACCCCAAGCATCCATGACTCGTGCAACATAAATAATAGCCACATAATTTAATTGAAAAGCCATATCTGTCAAACTTCAAAGACATCCATCGCATTCACCCAGATTGCAAATGTTCTTTCAAGTAAATGATAGCACGCTATTGTCCTATACACATGTAAGCATGTGAATGAGCAAATAAAATAAAGGCAGTAGCTCGTGACTCATAGTGGACTAAGGACTAAGTAAATTTGCTATCTAATAACGAAGCAGATATATCAAGATGAAACTAACTGCATATCTGAGGACTGAGGTAAAGGATTTGTTTCTTTTTAAACAGACAAATAAAGAAAATTATTTGCCGAAACCTTGGGGCATCTCATGAGAGTTGGAAATCGAGATAGATATCTGGCACAAAGACTAACCAATTCAATATTATGCCTAGCAGCTTCCTTTCTTAAAGTTTCAGTTTCCTCGAGAGGGACATCTGGAACAACAAGTCCTGAAAAGACACAGAATTATCATAGTGAGACATACGACAATCGGAACGAAGAAAACATAAGACTAGGTCAATGGCGCGAAAGAAGGCTGCAGTATCAGCACCATGTTGGATAATGCAACAAATAAAATAAAGAAAACTCATCCACTACAAATCTTCAATCATTTCCAGGTAATAGTTAATAGCACCCAGTAAACACTAGTTTGGAACTAAGGTGTTGTTGTTTGTTGTACAAACCAATCAACATTTATTTAAGGTATAAGTCATCTCCCCCAACAAATGTTATAGATAGAGATGTGGGAACAAAACTAAGATGGAAATTCCGCCATCCAAATAGAATAAAGGGTGCACCAACCACAGGTTGTTTTAAGCTTTTTTTCCTAGTCTGTACAGCTTTAAGCTTTTACTCGCAATGAGTCTATACTGCAGCAGATAGGCACCACCAACAGATATTGTAAGATGTACTAAGTTGGATGACGAAATGCTTTTCTTTAGGAAAATGAAAATAAGACTTTTATAAAGTTTAATCGTTTTAGTGCAAACATTTCTTTAGATAAAGTACTCAATATTTTTATTGATTTGCGGGAAGTAACCCTTTATGTATACCAGAAGTAGAAATCTCCACCTCAAAAAAGTCTGACACCTTACAGATCTCAACCAATCAATACTAACTGTGACCTCCTGGATACACTAAAAATGCACTCGTCTTAGTGCAAATATATCACATCGAAAGGAAAAGGAAGAAAGAAAAGCCTGCGATTAGACACGCCTCATTATCAGAACTAATCAGCAACTGGTGGGCGAAAAGGAGCCCAAAATTAAAACACTAGCTTTAAATTTGCAAAAATATTTAGGCTTAACCTGTTATAAGGTGCTAAATGATTGGTAGTCATCAATCCATCCAACCAATCTTCTCATTTTAAACAATTCTCATAATGCCAGGACATTTAACAACAGAAGCACAAAAGATTTATCCCACTGCAGAAGAAAACTATACAGAAACAATCATTAGTTCCCACAAATCATCCATATGCTAGACAATCTAGTCCATCTCCCTTAGTAGTTTAGAATTCTCTGCTGAAACTCAAGCAGCTGGTTATGCTTTGCGACAAAATATTGATCCAGCCTTCATGAGATAAGTTGAACTATACAACGTTAATGGACTAAAGGGAAGTACATAAAGCAATCTAATCCTAAGACCAGTTTCACATCAGTGGAAGTCTAAATTTCATGTGAAAATAAAGGTATACATGAAGATTCCATGTTATTTGGGGCATATCATAGAGGAACAGGCAGTCTCACACTAGAAACTCTTTTTAAGTCAAATATTTCACTAATAAACATCAACTTGGTGTCAAAACAACATATCAAGCTATATAAGTGGCTTCAACCAAATCACCCACTCGTCTATTAAATTTGTCCAACTATCACTTCTCACACTAATAATTCAACATTGCAAAACTAAGATTACCATGTACACCAGCATCTCTCACAGTGGCCATGAACTTTTCAGTACCGCGCTTAAGTATTGGATTATAATATGTGAACAAGGCAATTGGACAGGACAACTGAGGCACAACCTGTCAAATATTGAGAAATAATTTTAGATTTCTTAAAAGATATTTGACAACATATGCCAGAATAAACAAAGTGACTGGAGCAAGCAGACAACAAATCAAATCATAATTACTACCAGTCGGTCACATAAGGTCCATCAATAAAGTAATTTTTAGCAAGGACTGTTTGTATCTACAATTGCACTAGATAGTTAACAGGGGATTTTACAGCTTGTTAATCTCTAACTAGAAATTCGAGGCTATGGGGATTACGACTTTTAGCATTGATAAGACTTTGGCAAAATTGGTCCCTCTACTCAGTGATTTTGTAGCAGCAGCCTGAAAAAACAGATAATAAAAAAGAATGAGGATATACAAGAGGCAACGGACAAAAATTTAGGACTAAAAATGCAGTAATCACTTCATCAAAACCTGGATGACTGGACCATCAGCCAACGGATCAGAGTAAGGTACTCCTAGTTCTATGATATCCAAACCACATCGATCAAGCACTTTCAGTGCTTCTGCAGTTGTTGACATGTCAGGATCCCCAGCAGTGATATATGGAATTAATGCCACTTTTGCAACAAAAATTTGAGTTTCAAGTAAAAAACCAGAGATAATACTAGAAATACTTTTGAACGGTAAAAGCAGCCCGATGTTTTGACAGAAAAGCTATGAAAGAAGACATCTTTCTACCCTCGACAATAACAAACAATTGCATAAAAATAAAAAGTTTCCACGGGATTGTTTGTTTTTTTCCAATTCAATCAATGTTCAAAACAGAAATTGAATCAAAGCAGGTGAAAATTCTCTAACAGTAAGAATCTTCTTTTTGGGATAAGCTGCTGGCTGCTGTACATTTATCACTAATTTTCATAGTTTGCATAGGAGCTACAGATAAAATTACTCACTGGAAATCTCACACACCTAAGTATCAAATTCAAGATTTTCTTGGAAACCCAATTAAAGCAAATTATCATCTTTTTAACCAATGCCCAACTCTAATAAACCTTCAAGAGCGTAAACACTTAAAAAAAAACTAAGAATTATACAAAACAAAGGAATCACAACCCACAAAAAAATCTTCTTTTTTGGGAAGAAGAAAAATGAGGAGACAGAAAGTCATACTTTGCCTTGTTTCCTCAATCGAGCCAAAGTTTCAGAAAGTCCAACAGTTGGTGTGGTGCTGAGGGCAGCCATGGGAGGTTTGACCAAAGTTGAAATCTTGAGTCTTCTGGTATTATTATAGGAGTGAGGAAATGCGTGATATTCAAGCTTGTTATTGGAGTGAATGAAGTGGGTTGCTTTTAGAAAAGATGCCATAGGACTTTATACTGATGAGATTCTGCTAATGGAGATGAGGAGATCTGCAACGCACGGGGTATAAGGCAGGGGCGGACTTCGGCAAAAAAATTAATTATTTTTACCTGAGAATTTCATCAGAAAATTATGAAATACGTTTATATTGTCTAACCGAACCCACTTGAAACAAACTGAAGCGATGGAGCAGTGGCAAGTGGGCTCAATTTAATCCTAGAGGTCGTAAGTTCGAAACTTCGCTAAAGCGGCGTGCTAACTCTTGCCGTTTTGCTAAACGTATATAGTATTATTTTGCTTATTGTTAGACCTTGTTGTTTCCTATTTTGTCTTTATTTTCCTGCTTCTCTTTATGATTTTATTTCTTTATTTAAATTCACTAAAAGCTATTCTTATTAAACTCCTCCATTTCACTTCAAAAAAAGTTAATCCTTTCAACAAAGTGAAATTTGGTTCTTTATTCATAATTTTTGCTAAAAAAATGAGAGTGCTTTATCGAAATTACTTCTAATCTTTTAATTTAATTTGGTTTAGTTTACATTGAAATTATTAATTTGTGTTATACTCAAATAAAATTAGTCTGGTGTAAAATATTTTTTTCTTTAATAATTTTTATAAATTAGTTTAGTTTATCACTCTTTTTTTTCCATGTTTTTTGTTTGTAACAACTTTGTACATCAAATTTCTTAGAGTTATAGTACTATTTTTATGTTGGTTAAATACTTTTTTGTAAAAAAATTGCTAAATTTGCTGCAAAAATTTGTTAATTTATATAGAAATTTTTTTAAACAAATTAAACGACCAAATTTTCTTTGTTAGTTTTAAAAAATTTCCCCAACCTTTTTTCTTAAATAAATTACTCCATTTTGAAATCATTTGGTGGAAAAAAAAAGAACAGTGTACGATTTTTATTTACCGCTACGCTTATACAATCGACTATCGTGATCTTTAACTGATTCCGCTTGTATAAAATCCTGGGTCCACCACTGGTATAAGTACTTATAGTATAAGAATGAAGTGGGTGGATTTAGGAAAAGTTTCAGATGCGGGTAAGGCAAAAGAACTATTCATACTTAATCAACCTATTTTTGGTGTAATTGCATTTGGGGTTGTAATTGTAAAAATTGCACGGTCGCCCCCATTTTACATATACTTCTTTTTTAAACTTTTAACTTGTACCCATTTTTTAAACAACTTCAGCCTTCTTTCTCCTTAACCTTCTCCTCCGTTTTCTTCTTCTTCTTCTTCTTTCTTCTGCTGCTGTTGGTACTGCTACATCCAGTAATTACAATACTGTCAACGTTCAACAATTGAAAGCTGACCATTTTAGCTTTCAACCAATGTTCAACAATTGAAAGATGTTACTTTCACTAATGATCTTGTTTTATAGGAGTATTGCTTTTCAAATTTTCTGATAATTCCATTATAGAAACTGGATCTTAATGACAACTTGTCATTGCTGTTTTAGAACTTCAGCTCTAAGAATGCTAAAGTTCAGAAAATATAAGTAAAAACTTCAGCTCCTAGAGTGTTGAAGTTCAGCAAATAAAAAATAAACTTCAGCCCTGAAGTTCATCACAAACATAACAAAGCTTCAGCCAAAACATGCTGAAGTTCACCAAATTTAGAACAAAACTTCAGCTAAAACATGCTGAAGTTTGCGTGATTGCATTTGCTACTTCAGGCTCGTATGCTTGAAGTTACGCGAAAAGTGGGTACGCTTGCAATTTTTGCAAAGCGGTTATAAGTTAAAACGTGACCCAAAAAGCGGGTATAGATATAAATGCCCCGTTGTAATTTGGTCGTCGTTGTGGGATCGTCTACTTTTTTTGCATCCTTTTTTCTTAATTTTGAGTGAAATAATATTATCAATTCCACCGCACTGGTCCACATCTCTTGGTGCCGATCCTCAAATTTTTTATTCAACTTGACGACCTAATTAGGTTAAAATAGCACGGTCTAGCCAATTTTCGGACTGGTCATTCAAAAATAGCCAACGTTTGCCAAGTCATTGAAAAATAGCCACTATTTTGCTACAACAGAGACCGGTCCAGCATAATATACTGGAGTTCGGTGCACCTGTGTATGAACTTCCAGCATATTATGCTTGACCGGTATACTTTGCTGGGTCCAGTATAATATACTGGAGACTGGAGCACCGGTGCTCCAAATTTCACTATATTATGTTGGACCGATATATTATACTGGAATTCCAGTATATTAGACTGGAGTTCAGTATAATATACTGGAACTCCAGTATATTATGGTGGAGTATTTTTCCGAATTTTGAACAGTGTTTTCATTCCGATTTATCTTTACATGAAAAGTGGCTAACTTTCAATTACTTTTAAAACTATGGCTATTTTTGAATGACCACTTGTAAATCTAGCAATTTTTGAATTGCTCCACCTAATTAGATTCAAAAACTGAGAATATTATCTCAAGTAAATTGATCATAATCATCGGAGAGTTAGAAAGTGAATTTTGTTGGAATTAAATCAAGATTAACTAATAATCCAAAGTAATTTAGAATTTAGTATTTGTTAGTTTCTTTAATTCACGTCTACTTAGATTTTGTAGTCAAAATCATATAAGAATCAATTTCTTAATATCTAGTCAAATTTGGTTTTGCACTACCATAAACATGGGCAGATCTAGCTTTCCGAGTTTATCCGAACCCAATACTTTTGATACGAAGCATAATTTTATATGTAAAAATCTACTAAATTTACAATAAATATTAAATGAAACTCATAACTTTAAATATATAATGGGTTCAATATTAGAAATCTAGAAGTTGAACCCATAAAGTTTAAATCCTGGATCCGCCTCTAATTATAAATAGAAAAGNCAATATTAGAAATACTAGTAAGTTGAACCCATAAAGTTTAATACCTGGATCCGCTCTAATTATAAATAGAAAAGTAATAATTTCTTAGGTTGAGAGGTAGCTATGACATAGTGATATTGCTGAGTTTATGAGTGATAGAAAAACCCTCCTACCTCTTTATCTCTTTAGTTTACAATGGTTCTTTCAAATAGCCATTGTTATATATTTTATTGTGCCTAAATTATTCTTTTGAGGTATTTTTTATAAATCCTTCAAATTTCGCATTTTATGTCTTTATGATCATTTTGACCGGGAAAGTGATTTTTCAAAGTCAATACAGTAACTGTTTAGTGTATAACTTATGACTATTTGATGGAAAAGTTAACTTCATGAAAATGATGACAAGAATAATCGGGTCAATCAAATCAGTGATCAATTAATGATGGTCAAACGTCTATTTCAAAGACTTTTTTGTATCCTTTCCTCGTACAAGTAGGTCAAAAGATAAAATTTAGAAATCGTTATAAATATGCAGAACTCCAGAATCAAAGTCCACTGAAATTTCTTATTTGTATATATTATCGACTACCATCTGTCAAACAATATGACTTTGATGCCTAGCGGCAACACGGATCTTATGTTCTTTAGATGCCCATGATATCAAAACAGACTAGGTAGAAGACTCAAAAACCACAGTCAGAGATAGTCGAACTGGGGTTAAATCATCCGTCTTCCATGGAAATATTTCATCCATAACTGACATGCTCACTTGGTATGAAGCTAATCTCTGCCTTCTAATGCGCAAATCTTCTTTAAATGTACCTGGAATAAGAGCATATACATATCAAAGATCATAGCTATAAGTTCATTTTTCACATAACTGCAAGGAGATAACGCACAAACAATTGATTAGCATTAAATTATGGCAGCTTCCATGTTTAGCCCAACAAATAAACTGAACCATATGCGTGTGTTCGTGATCGGTGTTTAACCAAAAATTGGGATTTCGGCCAAAGCGTATTTTAGAAGAACTCGGGATACTGATAATCAAATAAAAATAGGAATAATTGATAAATAATAGATGAATATAAAGCAAAGTAATTCAATATATTCCAATAGTATTTCGTGTCCTTACAAATGATCAGTTTTCTCCTTTTATAGCTATCTCTAGGTAATACGTTTTGTTTATATCATAATAGAGTCATTATTGATAATTAATGGAATTTAATGTAACGTTATAATTGGTAATCATTATTGATAGTTAATGGCATCTAAGTGACGGAATTAAATATTTCGATCGAGGTTTTCGATAAAAATACTTTACACTGTCAGAGTGATAACAAATGTCACGGATAGTAGCGGAGAATAAATTGCAAGGGGGAGAAAGTGTAAAATTTTATGATCAAAGAGTACAACCCATCGAAATGTCACAGACCAGCACGTACAGTTCACCGACTCTTGGTTAGTTATTGAAGCGCGTGGGCGATGTCAGAAAGGAAGTCACCGGCGACGAAACTCCGGTAAATCAAGTTCTTGATATGAGTGATCCAGGCATTCAACAAAACTCTCTTCCTTTTGTACTCTCCTTCAATAATCTCACATACAGCGTAAAAGTTCCCCGGAAAATGACTTTTCCGACGATCTTCCGGCAACCCATCGCCGGAACCGCCGCAGCCACCAGAGAGCCGATTGCCGAACTTGTTCACGAGAACAAAAGTGCTCCTCGACAACATCTCCGGTGAGGCGCGTGACGAAGAAATCGTCGCTGTTCTTGGCGCGCCGGGTTCGGGAAAATCGACACTCATCGACGGGTTGGCTAATCGGATTGCAAAAGAAAGCTTGAAAGGAACAATAACGTTAAATGGAGAGCCATTGGATTCAAGATTGTTGAAAGTAATTTCAGCATACGTCATGCTGAAATTACTCACTGGAAATCTCACACACCTAAGTATCAAATCCAAGATTTTCTTGGAAACCCAATTAAAGCACATTATCATCTTTTTAACCAATGCCCAACTCTAATAAACCTTCAAGAGCATAAACACGTAAAAAAAACTAAGAATTATACAAAACAAAGGAATCACAACCCACAAAAAAATCTTCTTTTTTGGGAAGAAGAAAAATGAGGAGACAGAAAGTCATACTTTGCCTTGTTTCCTCAATCGAGTGAAAGTTTCAGAAAGTCCAACAGTTGGTGTGGTGCTGAGGGAACCCATGGGAGGTTTGACCGAAGTTGAAATCTTGAGTCTTTGGGTATTATTATAGGAGTGAGGAAACGCGTGATATTCAAGCTTGTTATTGGAGTGAATGAAGTAGGTTGCTTTTAGAAAAAGATGCCATAACATCAGGACTTTTCTTAAACTTTTTGTTAATGGAGATGCGGAGATATAGCTGCAACGCACGGGGGTATAAGTACGGCCTACTGTAAGAATGAAGTGGCTGAATTTAGGAAAAGTTTCAGATGCGGGTAAGGCAAAAGAACTATTCACACTGAAGCATCCTATTTTTGGTGTAATTGCATTTAGGGTTGTAATTGTAAAAATTGCACGGTCGCCCCCATTTTACATATACTTCTTTTTTAAAGTTTTAACTTGTACCCATTTTTTAAACAACTTCAGCCCTCTTTCTCCTAATCCCTCTCCTCCGTTTTCTTCTTCTTCTTCTTCTTTTTTCTGCTGCTGTTGGTGTTGCTACGTCCAGTAATTACAATATTGTCAACGTTCAACAATTGAAAGCTGACCATTTTAGCTTTCTCCTAATGTTCAACAATTGAAAGATGTTACTTTTACTAATGGTCTTGTTTTATAGGAGTATTGCTTTTCAAATTTTCTGATAATTCCATTATAGAAACTGGATCTTAATGACAACTTGTCATTATTGTTTTAGAACATCAGCTCTAAGAATGCTGAAGTTCAGAAAATATAAAAAAAAACTTCAGCTCCTAGAATGTTGAAGTTCAGCAAATATAAAACAAACTTTAGCCCTGAAGTTCATCACAAACATAAAAAAGCTTCAGTCAAAACATGCTGAAGTTCAGCAAATTTAAAACAAAACTTCAGCTAATACATGCTGAAGTTTGCGTGATTGCATTTGCTACTTCAGGCTCGTAAGCTTGAAGTTACGCGAAAAGTGGGTACGCTTGCAATTTTTTTGCAAAGCGGTTATAAGTTAAAACGTGACCCAAAAAGCGGGTATAGATATAAATGCCCCGTTGTAATTTGGTCGTCGTTATGGGATCGTCTACTTTTTTGCGTCCTTTTTTCTTAATTTGAGTGAAATAATATTATCAATTCCACCGCACTGGTCCACATCTCTTGGTGCCGATCCTCAAATTTTTTATTCAACTTGATGACCTAATTAGGTTAAAATAGCACGGTCTAGCCAATTTTCGGACTGGTCATTCAAAAATAGCCAACGTTTGCCAAGTCATTGAAAAATAGCCACTATTTTGCTACAACAGAGACCGGTCCAGCATAATATACTGGAGTTCGGTGCACCCGTGTATGAACTTCCAGCATATTATACTGGACCGGTATACTTTGCTGGGTCCAGTATAATATACTGGAGACTGGAGCACCGGTGCTCCAAACTTCACTATATTATGTTGGACCGATATATTATACTGGAATTCCAGTATATTAGACTGGAGTTTCAGTATAATATACTGGAACTCCAGTATATTCTGGTGGAGTATTTTTCCGAATTTTGAACAGTGTTTTCATTCCGATTTATCTTTACATGAAAAGTGGCTAACTTTCAATTACTTTTAAAACTATGGCTATTTTTGAATGACCACTTGTAAATCTAGCAATTTTTGAATTGCTCCACCTAATTAGATTCAAAAACTGAGAATATTATCTCAAGTAAATTGATCATAATCATCGGAGAGTTAGAAAGTGAATTTTGTTGGAATTAAATCAAGATTAACTAATAATCCAAAGTAATTTAGAATTTAGTATTTGTTAGTTTCTTTAATTCACGTCTACTTAGATTTTGTAGTTAAAATCATATAAGAATCAATTTTTTAATATCTAGTCAAATTTGGTTTTGCACTACCATAAACATGGGCAGATCTAGCTTTCCGAGTTTATCCGAACCCAATACTTTTGATACGAAGCATAATTTTATATGTAAAAATCTACTAAATTTACAATAAATATTAAATGAAACTCATAACTTTAAATATATAATGGGTTCAATATTAGAAATCTAGAAGTTGAACCCATAAAGTTTAAATCCTGGATCCGCCTCTAATTATAAATAGAAAAGTAATAATTTCTTAGGTTGAGAGGTAGCTATGACATAGTGATATTGCTGAGTTTATGAGTGATAGAAAAACACTCCTACCTCTTTATCTCTTTAGTTTACAATGGTTCTTCCAAATAGCCATTGTTGTATATTTTATTGTGCCTAAATTAATTTTTTGAGGTATTTTTTATAAATCCTTCAAATTTCGCATTTTATGTCTTTATGATCATTTTGACCGAGAAAGTGATTTTTCAAAGTCAATACAGTAACTGTTTAGTGTATAACTTATGACTATTTGATGGAAAAGTTAACATCATGAAAATGATGGCAAGAATAATCGGGTCAATCAAATCAGTGATCAATTAATGAGGGTCAAACGTCTATTTCAAAGACTTTTTTGTATCCTCTCCTCGTACAAGTAGGTCAAAAGACAAAATTTAGAAATCGTTATAAATATGCAGAACTCCAGAATCAAAGTCCACTGAAATTTCTTATTTCTATATATTATCGACTACCATCTGTCAAACAATATGACTTTGATGCCTAGCGGCAACACGGATCTTATGTTCTTTAGATGCCCATGATATCAAAACAGACTAGGTAGAAGACTCAAATACCACAGTCAGAGATACTCGAATTGGGGTTAAATCATCCGTCTTTCCATGAAAATAGTTCATCCACAGCTGACATGCTCACTTGGTATGAAGCTGATCTCTGCCTTCTAATGCGCAAATCTTCTTTAAATGTACCCGGAATAAGAGCATATACATATCAAAGATCATAGCTATAAGTTCATTTTTCACATAACTACAAGGAGATGACGCACAGACAATTGATTAGCATTAAATTGTGACGGCTTCCATGTTTAGCCCAACAAATAAACTGAACCATATGCGTGTGCTCGTGATCGGTGTTTAACCAAAAATTGGGATTTCGGCCAAAGCGTATTTTAGAAGAACTCGGGCTACTAATAATCAAATAAAAATAAGAATAATTTATAAATAATAGATGAATATAAAGCAAAGTAATTCAATATATTCCAATAGTATTTCGTGTCCTTACAAATGATCAGTTTTCTCCTTTTATAGCTATCTCTAGGTTATACGTTTTGTTTCTATCATAATAGAGTCCTTATTTATAATTAATGGCATTTAATGTAACGTTATAATTGGTAATCATTATTGATAATTAATGGCATCTAAGTGACGAAATTAAATATTTCGATCGAGGTTTTCGATAAAAATTCTTTACACTGTCAGAGTGATAACAAATGTCACTGATAGTAGCGGAGAATACATTGCAAGGGGGAGAAAGTGTAAAATTTTATGATCAAAGAGTACAACCCATCGAAATGTCACAGACCAGCGCGTACAGTTCACCGACTCTTGGTCAGTTATTGAAGCGCGTGGGCGATGTCAGAAAGGAAGTCACCGGCGACAAAACTCCGGTACATCAAGTTCTTGATATGTGTGATCCAGGCATTCAACAAAACTCTCTTCCTTTTGTACTCTCCTTCAATAATCTCACATACAGATTAAAAGTTCCCCGAAAAATTACTTTTCCAACGATCTTCCGGCAACCCGTCGCCGGAACCGCCGCAGCCACCGGAGAGCCGGTTGCCGGAGAAAACTTGTTCACGAGAACAAAAGTGCTCCTCGACAACATCTCCGGCAAGGCGTGTGACGGAGAAATCGTTGCCGTTCTTGGCGCGTCGGGTTCGGGAAAATTGACACTCATCGACGGGTTGGCTAATCGGATTGCAAAAGAAAGCTTGAAAGGAACAATAACGTTAAATGGAGAGCCATTGGATTCAAGATTGTTGAAAGTAATTTCAGCATACGTCATGCTGAAGTTACTCACTGGAAATCTCACACACCTAAGTATCAAATCCAAGATTTTCTTGGAAACCCAATTAAAGCAAATTATCATCTTTTTAACCAATGCCCAACTCTAATAAACCTTCAAGAGCATAAACACGTAGAAAAAACTAAGAATTATACAAAACAAAGGAATCACAACCCACAAAAAAATCTTCTTTTTTGGGAAGAAGAAAAATGAGGAGACAGAAAGTCATACTTTGCCTTGTTTCCTCAATCGAGTGAAATTTTCAGAAAGTCCAACAGTTGGTGTGGTGTTGAGGACAGCCATGGGAGGTTTGACCGAAGTTGAAATCTTGAGTCTTTGGGTATTATTATAGGAGTGAGGAAACGCGTGACATTCAAGCTTGTTATTGGAGTGAATGAAGTGGGTTGCTTTTAGAAAAGATGCCATAACATCAGGACTTTTCTTAAACTTTCTGCTAATGGAGATGAGGAGATATAGCTGCAACGCACGGGGGTATAAGAACGGCCTAATGTAAGAATGAAGTGGCTGGATTTAGGAAAAGTTTCAGATGCGGGTAAGGCAAGAGAACTATTCACACTTAAACAACCTATTTTGGTGTAATTGCATTTGGGGTTGTAATTGTAAAAATTGCACGATCGCCCCCATTTTACATATACTGCTTTTTTGAAGTTTTAACTTGTACCCATTTTTTAAACAACTTCAGCCCTCTTTCTCTTTATCCTTCTCCTCCGTTTTCTTCTTCTTCTTTCTTCTGCTACTGCTGTTGGTGCTGCTACGTCCAGTAATTACAATATTGTCAACGTTCAACAATTGAAAGCTGACCATTTTAGGTTTTTCCCAATGTTCAACAATTGAAAGATGTTACTTTTACTAATGGTCTTGTTTTATAGGAGTATTGCTTTTCAAATTTTCTGATAATTCCATTATAGAAACTGGATCTTAATGACAACTTGTCATTGTTGTTTTAGAACTTCAACTCTAAGAATGCTGAAGTTCAGAAAATATAAATAAAAACTTCAGCTCCTAGAATATTGAAGTTCAACAAATACAAAACAAACTTCAGCCCTGAAGTTCATCACAAACATAACAAAGCTTCAGCCAAAACATGCCGAAGTTCAGCAAATTTAGAACAAAATTTCAACTAAAACATGCTGAAGTTTGCGTGATTGCTTTTGCCACTTCAGGCTCTTATGCTTGAAGTTACGCGAAAAGTGGGTACGCTTGCAATTTTTTTGCAAAGCGGTTATAAGTTAAAA